GGCCGCCTGGCCGGGACAGAGGCAATCCCGGTCCCGCCGCAGCAGGAAAGGGGCTCATTTCCTGCAGGACAGGGGGAGAAGGGGGTCGCTGCAGACGGCTGGGGTTTGCAGAGGGCAGGGACAAAAGCAACCGTCTCTCCCGAGCTGGCCCACGGTCCGTCCCAAACGTGGCTAAGGCAGGGCTGGAAGGCAAGCATCACCTCCCCTCCGCCTGCGAGGAATGAGACGTGACTGCTAAACCAGCAACAGATGGTGACGCCACGACCCACCGCGGAGGGGAACCGTGCCACACGCCTGGCTGGGGTTTGCAGAGGGCAGGGACAAAAGCAACCGTCTCTCCCGAGCTGGCCCACGGTCCGTCCCAAACGTGGCTAAGGCAGGGCTGGAAGGCAAGCATCACCTCCCCTCCGCCTGCGAGGAATGAGACGTGACTGCTAAACCAGCAACAGATGGTGACGCCACGACCCACCGCGGAGGGGAACCGTGCCACTCGCCTGCCCTGCTGCAGGAGCCGGGCTGCCAGGGTGACCCACTGCATTTGGGTGTTGGGGAAGGAGGGGGGCATGCGAAGTCCCATGGGTGTGGGAGGAAGGGTGCGCACCACCCAGCTCAAGCTGCACTTACGCTGATTTTGGTTGCATCCTTATTTGTTACCTAAAAAAACAACAGAAAAAGGGGGGATTAGACTCAGCTCTACCAGCACATCAACAAGATGCTCATCTTCCCACCCCAGTGCAAGGACAGGACACGCTGTCAGGACTCTGCTTGCCATTCACACCGCCTGTGCGTGGGTGGGGGTGGGGGAGTTCCCCGGGCGATGGGGAAGGCAGCAAACCAGTGCTCAGCTGGGGGGGCTGTTTTGGTAAGGCTCCCATGGTGCCCACAGAAGCACTGCTTTCACCAGGGGTGCTGAACAGCAGCCAAAGAAATGCTTGTTGCGTGCTGTGCTGCTCACAGTCACTGACAAACGCTGGGGAAGATACTTCACCAGCAGCATTAGCACAGCAGTGAAGTGCTTGGGGCAGGCTGGATCCTGCACTGCTCAGGGCAGAGCTTCAGTCCTAAAACATCTCGGGAGCAGGTATCGCTCAGCAGGCGTTCATACTTGCTTTTTTTTTTTTTTTTTTTTTTTTTTTTTTTTTTTTCAGTCTCCAGCAAACCTAAGTGATGCCTCAGATGATGCGCCTCCCAGGGAGACAGTCATCATTCTCCAGGCGTGCCCTGTCATCATTTATTGTAAAAGCAACTCACGGTTTTTATATAAGGTTAAAGAAGACATTTAAATCCAAGCGATTTATTTCCCTGACAACTGACTTACACTTTCCTCAGCTAGGCGGCATCACATTAGCTCAGCGTCTATATGCTTTGCATCTCTATTTGAGCTCTGCAGGAAAACAAGCATGCCACAGAGAGGGGAGCTGGCACAGGCGCGGAGGCTGCCGGGGGGCCCCCTGCCGGCACAAGGGCCGGGGGGCTGGACAGAGGGACATGCCCTGCACAGTAGGGCAACACAGCCTGGAAATCCTGCTTTACCCCGCTCCTTGTACAGCCTCATTTGGCACCAGCAAGGTGTCTTGCACTGGTGGGACGCCGCAGAATGAACTGGCTTATGTTGGGGAAATGCAGCTGAAAGATTTAGATTAGAGCCTACCCTCATGCCAGGCAGCTTGCTTGGGGGAGGGGAAACGACACGCGAGATTTAACTCTGCTTCACGCATTTTAATTACTACATCCGACTGTGTGAAAATGTCTTGCTGAGCTCCAGATACGGACACAGGTGTGTACGTGCACCCCAAGAAACTGTGTGCATCTGTATATGCAGATTGATATATACTTAACATACCAACAGAGAGGTGCATCCCTCATGCCTGTTTTTGCTCTGCCAGCGAGCAAACATTTTCCAGCGATTCCAATGAGCTCTCCCACCTTTTACGACGATTCCTAGTTCAGCCCACAGAAGCACTTGTGTTTGCTTGTCCCCACTTCATACTACAGCTATTTCTGACTGTCTCTCTCGGGTCCTCATTGCTGATTTTGCAGCGGGACATTTACCATTTTCTATTTACGATCCTTAAAGCACCGACGTTTTTTCCTGAGGTGAAGTCCCCCATGGTGCATGCCCTGTCCTCCTCTGTCCCAGGGAGGGCCCGGTGCTTCCAACCGCTCGCTGGCACCGGGTGGAGGAAGCACGCTCCTCTCCGGGACTGCTGGGTTTATTTTGATCACCCTCTCAGCATGTTGCACTCGATGAATAGATATATCTCCGTAACGCTGTATTACCTTGCTCCTGCTGCCGGGGACATTGATGGCTAATTCGTGTGCAAGTTCTCTGGCTGGTTCTTTAAGGTACCACCACTGGATTTCCAAGGAGTAAGAGGTGGATCCGCTGGCTCGAAAAGCACAAGGCATCTCAATATCATCTCCTTCCCTAACAGTCACATCTTTGGGAACTTCAGTAAAGGTAGCTGGGAGGGGAAGATAGAGTTACAGCGGCTGGTTAACGGGAAAGATTAAAAGACAAGATCAGTCTTTTTCAGTATAACGGGAGCTGTTTCAGTTCAAGGGCTAGGCACGGTGACCGCAGGATAAGCGGAGCCTCCGGGACCGCGCACCCGGG